AAAAGCCCAGAGCCCGCGGCGGGCGCGGCGCCGAACCTGGACCTGGGCGAGCTGCGCTCCCTTGCCTGTGACGCCCTCCTGCAGGAGAGTTTCTACCAGCATAAGAAGCGGCCGTTTCTCTACCGTGATCACGATCACACTCCCGGCCCGTTCCTTACACAGCTCGTTTCCAGCCTCTCCAGTTCCCTCTGCGGTCGCAACCCGCTGTTGACGGCTTCCTCCCCCGGTGCGGGATGTCTTCCTCCCTCGGTGCGGAATGTGGGTGGGAGGGAGAGGGAAGTGAGAGCCCTTGAGGAGGGGTAGACGTAAACCTGGCAGGAGTGTTGCTGGTGGATCTGAGTTATTCATACCACCACAAGTAATTCGTCTAATCTCCATCATTATACATGGTGCAGGTGGATTTTGTTTTTGGTTTGGTTTTGTTTTACAACTGCTACAGAACAAGAATTGGGAGAGTTTTAAATGCAAAAGCATGATCTCTGTTTTTCTCTATGCCTTGGTTCTCTTTCAGATATAAAACCTGAAGTTAACTATTACTGGCATCATGGTGAGGAGGTGGTTGTTCACGGATATCGAAAAGGCAGAGTTGATCCTGTGCGATTTCAGATAGATGATAAACCACACCTCCAGATCCGCATACCAAAGCAACTTCCAGAGGTGTGGATATTTTCAACAGCAAGCTAATCACGTGCATTTTCACTTGCATTTCTTACAGCCACTGAAACCGTGCAGTAGGTAGTATATGGAGCAACTGATTAATCAAGCTTGTAGCACTTTGTTTATTTTTCAAGGCTTAATATCCTTGCTATGTTGTTGGGGTAACTGCCTTATAGGCATTGAGCTGGTCTCCTGAGCTTCAAGTTAGTCGTTATTGTGCTTTATATAGAATGCATGTTAGTGTTATACTTCATGAAATGGAGTTTTTAATTTACTTTATGCTTTTAAGTGGTGGCAAGAAAAAGAAATGTGATGTGGAACATTTTATCCTCAGCGGACATGAATAAGATGAGAGAAATGAAGACGACTGGAGTGACAGATAAATTCAACGTGAGCTCTGTTACCCATTAGTACTGCTTAACAATTGTTTTCTTGAATACTCGATTTTCTGAAAGGTGATTGAATATTCTAATATTTTTTTTTTTTTATCAGCTTTGTACAGTGGTGATTGTGTAGTCCGTGAGGGTCTCTGTTGCCCAGTTTCCACTACAAACAGGAAACATTACTTCACTTTCTGTAAATGCTGAACGTTTCTTGCTTACTTAATTGTACATTTTGTTTCAGTTATTACTGTCACACATCATAAACCTTTGCATTTTGGGATAGGCAATTAAAAATGTTACGTAGTGCAAAACACTGAATACCTCTGAAGTCAGTCTTCTTGTTCAGGTTATTTTGTTAATTGCCACTAGAGGTGGTTTTTGTGCTCCTGTACAGAAGCACCTTCTCATTTTGAAGATGTTACTAACTGATGGCTGTGTTAGTACCATTCACACAATGTTTTTTGCTTATAGAAGAAAATTCAGACATAGATAGAAGATGCATGTACTAACACTCATCACAAGATGAGACATTCTGTTACAAAAAAAGTATTTCAGGTAAAGTTATGTGTGTGGTACATGTAAGCAAGACTTGCACATTCTGCTGTGTGACCAGAAAGTGGTATATTGTGTGAGGCTTGATGTCTGACATGTTGACTTATGTCATGGCTTTTCTTCCTTTTACTTCCTTCAAGATTGTACCACTGGAGTCAGATCTTGGAGATGTTCCTGTTATTAATCACAAACCATCCAAACTGCCGTTGTTCAAAAAGCAGTATGAAAACAAGGTTTTCATAGGTAAGATTTCCTAGTCATGAAGTGCCAGCTACTTTTTTTTTCTTAAGAAAAACAAACCATAAATAAACCAAAACCAAAACAAAAGCCCAACCTGAAAACAAACACCGCCGTGATATTTCTTTTCCCTAAAAAAGTCATTTGCATACTTTTCTATATAACTATACTGTGTAATTGTGTATAATTTTGAGATTCTACATCAGTTAGGCGATGGGAAGTAGAATTCTCCTCTATATGTGATGCTCTATGTCCAAATTCACTTGAAGGAGCTGGATTGAATAGAAAATCAGCAGAACACTTGCTTTGAACTTTGTTAAATCTCCTCAGATAATTTCGTTTGTGAACTCTTGGAGTTGGGCAAGCCATGCAGCCTCACCTAAAAATGGAGGAATCGCAACAAGATCTACAGAGTTTCTAACCTGTTGTTTGGAGTCTCATAGTAAAGTTGTGTTTGTATGCCTAATAAAGAGCATTCTCTGACTATTTAATTTTTTTCTTGTTTTTTTTGGGTAACACAGGATCAAAGGTGGCAGATCGATGCTGTTATGGACACACCCAGTTTCATCTTATTCCTGATAAATTGAAACGGGAGAGGTTTGTAAGAGCACGTCTTGAGGATCAGATTGAAGTTGTTTATCGAGCTAATGGTATTGCAAGTCTCTTTGCTTGGACAGCAGCACAAGCAATGTATCAAGGTGAGACAGTCAACTTGATAATTTCTTCCTGGTGGTGATTGCCTACTGCTAAGGTCTATAACCTTTTCTTCCCACCACCTTCTTTCTCATGCCTTTTCCTCTGAAGAACATCGTTTTGAGCAGGTGCTGGAAAATTGAATTGAACCAATGAATGTAGCGTTATACAAGGGAGTCGGTTAAGACTTCATTACTACAGTCAGTTATGCTCACATATGCGTGCTTCTATCATAAAACAAATGCTCATTGTAAGAAGCATGGAATAGTAAGAAGACGTTTCCCCTCAGTGTACTTGCAGGACTTGGACACATTCGTAACACCTGTATTTTCGAAAAGACTTGCCTCATTAGTATGGGTTTTTTGTCAGTCATAAGGGAACAGTGTACCAAATGAAAATATGCCTCTGGGTCCCTGACCTCGGAAATACCCTTAACTGGTGGTTGCATTTTGGTTAGTCTGTAAGAAGAAGGCTTGTGTTGCTAAAGCAGGTAGGACTTTTTGCCCTGCAGAGTGGCTGTTGCAATTCCCAGTATTTTTCTGTATTTCAGGATTGGGTTTTAGATGTGTGTGCTGATAGGAATTTCAAGTCCAGTGTAACTAGTGTTCTTTCTTCATTTTGTAGGATTCTGGAGTGAAGCAGATGTGACCCGTCCGTTTGTATCCCAAGCAGTAGTGACTGATGGCAAATACTTTGCTTTCTTTTGTTACCAGTTAAATACTTTAGCACTAAGTGTAGAAACTATTCAGAACAACCCTCGGAAGAATATCTGCTGGGGTACAGACAGTAAGCCATTGTACGATGTTGTGGAAGATGGTAATGTGAAAGGCTTTAATGATGAAGTTCTGCTTCACTTGGTTCGTTTTCTGTTAAACAGACCAAAAGAGGTGTAAATCATGAACAATAAAATATTTCTGTTTATGTGCCTGAACTTCATTGTAACGCCATGAAGTATGGGCTAGAATATACCTTGTTTGTGGTCAACTATTTGTCTAGCAAAAACTATATACAATTTTTATGATATCTGGGTTTTATTTTAACCGTATGGTACTGTACGCTGAAAAAATAAATGCCATATAGATGTCAATACCTAATGTCTTTTGTATATTTACTGTTAGAAGCATATTGCACTAATTCAAGGTTGCGTGAATCCTTTCCGTTAGCAGATTTTACACATTTGAAAGAGAAAGTGAGCTCAGAATAACAAGTGTTTCTTAGAAGTGAATGGCTGGCAATGCCTAAAAATTTCACTTGCTATATAACTACATTTATTGAGCAGTAGTATAAAAACCATGAAACTTGCTTCCAGAGATTCTGTTATGAGCATGCATACAGATTTTTAGGCTGTCACCTCAGGAACTACAAAGAACTTTCAAATGCATTGAATAATACAGTTTTCCCTTTAGCTTGGGACCTTGATTTCTTCTGTAGATGTCTTAATGTTTGCATCGCTGATATTTGGCTGTCTTATGGCTGGTTTTAGTAGAACACAGCTGAACCCAAGCCATGACTACACCTCTGATTAATAAGATAACAAGATGTAAGGTCTGCTTAGGAATATTTAATTATCAACAAAGTATGTCTAATTTTGAGGTAAATAAACATGCCTAGAATTTTCATGGTTCTGTATACTGTGACTGACCTTGTTGGAATTTTCCAGGGATCTTATTAATGAGTCAAGTATTTTTTTAAAGAGAGTACTGAATCATAAAGATACTTAGCTACACATTCTTCAGCCTGAGCAACTGGGGACCCTGCTTCCTGTTTTAATCTGCCTTACAGGGTATTTTGCTAATGAAGGATGAGATAATTGTAGAATCTTATTTGGTTGGTACTTTACTATGTTGGAATGAATTAGTGTCCACTTTCTCCACTGGCAGAGGATAATCTGGAAAAGTAAGATGAGTGTGAGCACTTGTTTCTTTTCAAGAGAAGTAAAAAGTCCTTAAGTGCTTTTTTTTTGTCTTAACATTGCTTGAATATTACTAGTTCTGATCACTGCTTATCTTTGGATTAAAGAAATATTCCACGTTGGAACAGAAGATAAATTGCTGGGTGCACATATTGATTGTAGAGTATGACCTGTGACCTAGCTTAAAAGTGAGTGAGTAAAACTTGCTTTCTGGTGCGATGAAGGAATGATGCAAAATGAATGGAAGGATACTAAAAGAAAAAACAACAACAAAAAAAAAAAAAACCAAACAAACAAACAAACAAAAAAACAGTCGGGTATTCTGACCCTGAAGGCAGTCTCTACAGTTGGTGCAGTATGGTATTGCCTTCAGCTTGAAAATGTGTGAGTTATGTAAAAGTAGTGGCTGAGGAAAGCTGACATGGAAAGTCAAAGAAATTCTTGTTCCCAGGGTAAAAAACAACTAGTTTTTCTGTGGTTCAGCCTTTTATCTATTCTGAGGTCTCAGCTGTAGTGCAGCAAGTTCAAAGAAGAGCTGTTTTGTTTTTTTTTTTTTTCCTTTGTGCGGCATTATCAGGGACTGAAAAAGCACTGTTAAGATGTGTAACCTGATAGAAGAACCCCGTGTTGAAGGGAGGGAGGAAGGTTTACTGTGAGCTGGCTGTTCTGTAATTGCAAAGTACCGACTTCAGCTCTCTTGTCTGTCTCAAAAGGCAAGAGGATACCCTGGAAAAACAGTGGGTGGCACTGTTTCACCTTCTACTGAGGAAAAAGTGTAACGGTCGTTGTTTTGCTTTTTTGTCACTGGCAAAGTTGTCATACCGTAGCGTATGCAGTTTTCTACAGCAATCTTTCATCTTGTACTCATCTGTTCAGGGTGTTTAATGCTGGCTCCCAACGATAAAGTCAATAGAGAGCTCTTTTAGTGGCTATACAATCTTTAAAGAAAAAAAAATGTTTAAAGGTAGAAAGCTTAGAAGCTGCAGCATTTGTATTCTTGAGCTTTGCACAGCAGAAACCTATTATTCCGCTCCTATAAGTCTCATGGGAGCATCGTTCTTCAGCATTCTGTTTTATTGAGTTTGCTGTTTAAAAGAAAAAAAGGCAATTCGAAGAATACAGGATGGAAGCACCTAAGTTTAGATCCTTCTTCCTGTATTAGTTTCTGCTTAGGCCTATTGGTGTATATCACAAGGGAACATAAGGCAGAATCTAAAAATAATACTTTGTTTTACATAATGAAGCAAGTGTTTTCTCTACTATTGAACTATTTTGCTTAAAACTTGTCTCATCTTCAAAGAGGGTGACTGATCTCTGAAATTGTACCTGTACTGTTGTTTATGACACTGCAAGTGGTGACTTGGAATGGAACTGACTAAGCAGCTTTTCCCAAAATGGAGAGGAGAGGGGAAGACTGGAACTCTTCTATCTGTATAGGGTTATGTTGCACCAACTTGTTGGGGTAGATAGTTCTGTTTCCTTTCAGACCAGAGAAATAGCTTCATATGTAGTGTCTACTTGTTTATACAGAAGTCTCTCCTGATATCTCTTCTGCACTCAGGTTTTCTGTCATTGGAGAAGACACCTGCTCCTTTTATCTTAGAAGCAAATGAAGGTGTCTTTGTTCTGGAGATCCTCTGAGATGTTTTTACCAGAGGCAAGAGCAAGTCTTGGTGTCTGCTGCTGGTGGAGAAGCTTATCGAAAACTTGGCCTTTTGGCTGTACTGTAGAGACCATGCCTAGTGGCAGTATGTCTCAGATGGGATCAGTGAAGGTGGCTTTCTAGTGCATCCTATGCTAAAACGAGCATAGGGTCCTCAACCAGGATGACCAGAATAGGAGATGTGTGAAGTTTTCACTGAGTTAGCATGAAGTCTGATCTGGTACAAAACAATAATGTCCTGTGGATCAAAACAGTTTAAAAAGCATATCCCTAAGGAAGCTTGCAGAAGAGATTGCACAAGAACTACTTTTTCATTGAGGAAGAAACTGAACAAGTGCATAGAAGTGTCAGAGTAAGTGAAACATAAACACACGGGCAATGAAGACCATAAAGGAAGTTAGCAACGTCAAATCTTGAGGTAGATCAAAACCAGGCTGGTTGCAAACAGTATGTGACTGCATACATTATAGCATACCAGAACTTCACTGAGACAAGACCTTCAAGAAATGTAAGCTGAGGATCCTGAGAGACCATGAATCAGAAATGTACATAACAGCTAATATGAACTCTCTTTCTGAGACTAGGCAACAGCCGATGTGAGACAGTGCTTGGTTTTTTTTCTTTGACATTATTTGTCTTCAACAGAGCGTCATTCCCACCAAAAGCAATAAAGCCAGTCACCATAGAGCAAAATGTGACAGACCTCTGGTGGAGAAAGGACATGTAATTACTACGGGAAAAGTGTTGCTGTGATTCCATTGCTGAAATTACTTTGTTGTTCCTGGATAATACTGAGTAGTGGTAGAGTGGAATCCCACACTGGGTCTGAGAAGAAAGGTAGGGGGAAAAAGGTAACTACTCCTCCTCTTTGCTGTCATGAAATGATGGCAAGTGCAGGTAACACTGCATTTCACCATCTAATACAGGCTGAGGTTATGTAAAGAACGTGACAGAAATGAGAACTTGCTCAGCCATGTCTAGATGCATTTGGGTTGAAACATTTGTCATGTGGATCACTGGGGAGTTGCTGTCAGAGCTGATCATCCTGTGGCTGATTAGCCACAGGAGACTTTCCAGATAGTGTTAAGAAGGCCCATCCTATTCTGATTCTGGAAATCCTGGACCATGAACTCTTAGAGGCTAGTAGTAAATGGAGACCAGTAATGTGTACAGGAATTGTCCTGAGCCCTTCTCTAGCATACTAGCAGATTATGTAAAGCTTACCTGGTAAATACACATTAAGAGACTTTCAAAACGTAGTTGCTTGGAAGACTTGGCTGCCCTACTTCTAGAAGTAGGCAAAGAAGAATTACAAGCTACAAGGAGTTAGTGCATGGACACTACTCATACATTTATTAATGCGTGTTGTGATGTGAAGGGAGTCAGGTGTGAACCTCACTACATCCTCTTGCAGCAGCAGGATTTCAGAATTAAGGGGTTATTCATATCTAATTGAAAATGAGGGAAGGTAGTCTGCCATGCTCTTCAACCTGGTCATTAACCCACTGGTCTTGAAGCTGGAGTTTCAAGATGTGAGGTTAACAATTGTTAATCAGCTTTGAAGATGATCTGTGTAAACCATTTACCACCAGTAGCAGATGCCCTAAAAGGAGTTTATTTATTTACAACCTTTAAAAAAAATCCTTGAAGAAGGCAAAGGAATGGAAGGACGCTTGGCATGCTTTTTTATGTCTCTGCAGGAACAAGTGCTATCTAGCTCATGCAATAGGGAAGATGATTTTTCTAGACAGGACAGGCAGCATGATGGCATCTGCTCAGCTCTATTGACCTGCAACTATCTGCAATAATTTTTGATCTATGTGGGTTTGTTTGTTTGTTTGTTTGTTTGTTTTAATTTTGCCCGATTTCTGCATCACTTGAAGGTTCTCTCTTTAACTGAAATATTTGAGTGAATATTTAGTATTCATTCTTGGTCTTTTAATAATTGTTTGAAGTTTGATATATTGAACTGTATTTTCTGCTACGGAATCTTCTTGTTCCTACTAAGTCATGCTTGATTTCATTTGTTTCTTTCCTTGTATAGGGGGGAGTTGATCTTAATGTGTCTCTTTGAAAGGAAAGCTTTCTCCCATTTCTTTCCTCTTTTTTGCTTTCAGTATTCCTTGAACCTCTAATCAACTCAGTACACTTTATCACTGCTCTCAAGGGACATGATACAGGATCATTTTCACTGTTGGAAAGTGTAGCTTCTAACACAAGAGTCTGCACTGCAAATGTGAATGCTTTTGTCAGTTGCATATCCCAGAGCAGGTTTAAATTTCAACCTCAAGTTTCAGCCTGTAAAGGCCTTTTGTTTGGTTGGGTTTTTAAAATGAGATTCTGCACCAGCACATTTCTCTAGGTAATTGAAGGTGATCAGGAGTTGGCATTTTAAAATTCTAGTTCTGGGGTTGTTTAGCCTGAAGAAGGGAAGGCTCAGGTGGCATCTTATCAATGCGTACAAA